AATAGTTGCGGTTCCTTACATTTCGTGTATTTCATTTAAATATATTTTGTTTCTATAACTAAATTTTTCTAAGTTCCCGTAGGGTAAGTTATAGAACCGCAAAAAAAATGAAAATGAAAATTTTTGCATGCTCCTACATTTTACAGTTTCTAAATATTTTGACATACCTTACAAAAAAATTAGAAGAAAATTTGAAGAATATTGACAGTTAATAGGATCTTTTGAGGTTGCAGCAAAATTTTTATTCTTTGATACTTTGAAGAGATCTCTTTCATTTGCGAAATGTCGCCTTGATATTGTATCAAAAAGCTCTAAACTGAATTTCACTTTTTAGAGAAATAATTATGAATTCTCAATTTACCTTGATACTGCGCCTATTACCTGGTTCTTTACATTTCGTGTATTTCATTTAAATATATTTTGTTTCTATAACTAAATTTTTCTAAGTTCTCGTAGGGTAAGTTATAGTAACCGCAACAAAAAATGAAAATGAAAATTTTTGCATGCTCTTACATTTTACAGTTTCTAAATATTTTGACATACCTTACAAAAAAAAATCGATGTACTTGTGTGTGTGTAGTATGTGTTTTGTGTTGACACAAACGTCGACGTTCTCGAGAGCACTGCTCAACCGATTTGATTGATTCAAAGAACATTCGATTTCTACTCACGAGGAGACGGGCAGATTAGGTTTTGGCAAAGACAGATCCAGCCGTTTCGGTACTTGTATTGATGAAATAAAAAATTGACCAATTTTTGCCAAGGCAGGTCCAGCGGTCTCGGGTTTGCAGGGTGGTCTGAAATTATCTATACAAATTATTGTAATTGATCCACATTATTGTATAAATATTGATAGACAGATAATAATTAGACAGTGGACAGGTTGACTGTTAGATAGATAAACTAGTAGACAAATAGGAAAATAGATAGGTAGATAGGTAGACAGGTAGACAGGTTGACAAGAAGAAAAGTAAAGGTAATAGGTAAAGAGATAAAAGTAGACAAGCAGGCAGGTAGACATGTGAACAAGTAGACTGCTAGGCAGGTAAATTAAATACTAATCAAATATTTATTGATCAAATTGATTATTTATATGTATTGGGAGTTCATGCAAGTTGCCCTGTACGAAAATGCCACTTACACCTATTTATTATTAAGATTAACCAGTTGATTCAATTGATTGTTACTAGATTTTCTCTTCCCTTCTAACATCATTAACTATATCTAGTTGTTTTATCAACACCTTTCAAGCTCTCAAGAATTTTATCATATAATGTTTTAATCAAAACCACCTCAATGACATTAAATTGAATCAAAATATTACTTAGAATCACTTCGATTTCACCTTTCTTGCAGTTGCATTCGTGTTAATGTCTAAGAACAGGTTTTTGCAAATATTTATCATAAATAATATTTAATATGGAAATTGAGCCGTGTTGATTGAAGTCGGAAATGCAACCACATGTTTAACTGCTTTTCGGCTTTTACTTGGTTTTTAAATAAAATTATTATAAGATGAAATAATCATATTAACTTGGACCTGCTGTAAATAATCCGATTAATATAATTGAATTTTTCATTTATTTCAAAATTGGGGTCAATAAAAAATGCAACTCCGTGAAAACATTCCTTGGGGCTCAATGCTGATTAAATATATATATATATATATATATATATATATATATTACATATATATATATATATATGTGTGTGTGTGTGCGTATGTGTGTATGTACCGTTATAATGTGCAAATATCTGCGTGAAATAAATTGAAATCATTTTTACCTGTGAGAATAAATTGAAATCATTTTGACATGTCTAGATATCAATAATTTATTACATCCGAATGCAATTAATAATTTTGTTTTATTCATTACTTTCTTATTACGAATAATATTCAATGTTCCAATCTGTTCAATGGATTTTTGAATACTCTTAGCAGGGAAGAATAACTTTAAGTATCAGATAATACTTAATATCCATATGATTATACCAATAATCATAGGGTGTATTGAAAATGTTAATTTGATTCTAAATTATTAGCGTAATATATTTTTTGTTGCTATATTAAATGTATACATTTAAAACAGATTAAAACAAGGTTTATCACTGGTCAATATCGAATATTTATTATTGATTATTTAATGCTTTTTTTTTTTTAGAAAGCATATTTGTTTTCAGCGCTTTTAAATATATAATAAAATAATATTTATTTCTGATCATTTTAATTTGCGATATTTAATATAATATTCTATAAACGTTTATCATTCATCATCTAAAAAACATACTCCACCACATTACTCCTGGCTGGTTGCATTCCATGCGAGTGACGGTCAGTTTTTTGTTTTATAATATTACTGACTCATAAATATTTATCACCCCTCTGTTCTTGTACTTCGAGGACATTTTTCAATATTATTTCTGACAGTAAACTCTCCTGAGTTCGAATGTGTGAGTATCATTAAACCTGTAAAAGTTCAGAGAAGGTAATGGTCCACAGGCGGGAAGCCGAAATTTATCCAGTTGTGGATTTCCTGATGCGTTTGTGATATGACACTTAATAATTTACGATGGGATGTGGCAGAGTCGGAAAATTGATTTATGTAGTCATGTCGAGTTTATAAGATATGGTGAAATATGCAAAAGTGCTTTGCAATCGACTCTACATTGTTAAGTGTGCTAAGGAGCTTAACGTCAGTATGTGTTGAGGTGCCAAAGAAAGGGCTTGAAAATGCAAAACCTGATCAACCTATTCAATTTCAGATAAAAATGTTGTTTTCAAAGTTCATTATTAAGCTTTTATTCAAATAATAAATATGTTTAAGGAAATCTTAATTCTTCGAGCTTTTTGCTGTAAAAGTTAACTTATTTATAAAATCTTAGTTAAATCTATTTTGAGTTTATAAAAAATTACATAAACTGTTTGAGAATATTTTTATAAATAAAATCTGTTGTATATTATATTAAATTAGCCTAAAGTTTAAATAAAAAAATTATATAAATCCGTTGTAGCAAAGTAGATTTAATATAGGGTAGGGCACTAAGGTCCAACTTAACTTTGAGCAATTATATTGTGAAAACCTAATCAATTATATCACAAAAACACATATCAAACAAACAACTATCTGACTACGTTCAGCACAACAAACAGGTAATTCATTATTGCAGTAGTTTGTTTTTTAGCTGTTTTTCAAAAATTTGTTACCTGTTTTTTCGCCTTCATAAGCGGGGTAAAATGGAACGGCCAGGAGTAAATGGATCCAATATATTATTTTTAATTTTAAAGGAATTTTACGAAATAATAGCTACATTATTCAACCAGCAACCATTCAAATATTCAATATAAATTGCATGGTTACATTTTTATAGAGATAACCCTGTATATAACCTTTATCTTTGCCATAAAAATTCATCAAAGAGATGGAAAATAAAATAAATTTTTTATTTAATTCATCTTTCGTAAAATTATTATTTTTAACGTACTTTACTGTTTCATTTATACCCTTTTATTGTTTACACCAGAGTAAAGGTTCAGTTGGTTCTTTTTCCCCAGTCACGTGTAAGCTTATTAATATTATAGAGGTTGAAATAAAAAACTGTTGAATCTGACTTAAGTCAATGATACATCTTATAAAAAGAATAATTAAAGCATATTTAAAAATTATATTAGGGTCTCGTAATCTAACAAACAGGTCTCACAAACAAAAAATCTGACAACAGAATAAAATACTCAATTTTACATACTGCAATTCCAAACTTTGTCATTTATGTTCCGATAGCAACGTCGTAAGAATCGATATGTTGACTGGTTGAAAAACTTTTTCTCCCTACTTTCAAATATTGTTGTAAAAAAAACCCTAACTTTACCTGTTTTTGAGATATTGGTGGTGAACCCTTTTACCCGCGGACCTTTAAGCTCCACTCTACTATCTGCACATAAATGATTTCATTTCTTAACCGCCAAGCTCAATTATTTTTATTACTTATACAGGAGCAATAAAAAATTTAATTTGCAACTTGCAATAAATTTATATTTATGTATACTTTGTATTAAAATCCAGCCGAAGTCACTAGGCTACTAGTTCAATTTATTTTTATTACATATATAAAAATGAATGACATCAATATTTCAACATTCAATAAAGTATTTAAATATACTTTGTATAAACAGACAAACAGTATATAACAATTTGACATTATTAATTTCTCGAACTATAAAAAAACAATTAAGTTAATGGTTCGCATTACAAGAGGTTTCGTTCACAAAGAGTTACTTTGAACATTGAGTGGTTATGACAGATTGATTCAAGCATAAAATAAATTACAAGCCTTTATATGTTATAAGTTCTCACTGTGCAATATTTCCCTTTGTTTTATTCGCATCCATTGCTCTCCTAATAAATGTTTGCATTGCGGTTTTAATTTTATGGCCTCGTGTCATATATTAAATTATGCAATAAAAATGCGATGACTTATGAAATGCGTTAACCTTTAGGCTAACGCCGACGATCATTTTTTTATAATGCTTTTGTTATAAGGAAGACGGATGAAAATTGATTTTATTATTTCTTGATACTTGTTTATGGATAATTTTTCTTATTGGTAGAATCAAGAAGTTGACATAGTTTCATTTTATATTGTAGTTTTCATTACTTTGAGAATCAGTAAATGTGATATGATGTTGATACTTAGCTATTTTCGCTCCCGCTATCTGAAGCGCAGTGATTATATATTATGCTATTTCATGTATATTAATCAGGCTGTTAGTCCATTACCTTTGACAAGCATCAAAATAGTTATTTTTCTTTTAACCAAAATGTTTGGTAAGGTGGATAATTTATATATTGATCATTTCCATCTCTCAATTATGCATTTGACGTAAAACAAAACACTATTAATCACCAAAAAAAAATAAAAAAATTCTAGTGACATAAATGCTTACAAATGCAGGTAACTAATGCGCATAAACCAATTACTGATAATGCCATAATAGAAGTACAATGCCCACAGAATCTAATAAAGATGGAGAAAAGAAAACTGCCACCACGACCGCTACAACAGCAAAAGAAGCACCGTCAACTAATCCCGAACCAGCACCTCCTGATAAAAAGTCCGTGTTAGAAACCCACGGGTATGTCCTCGGCAGGCCCATTGGGTCCGGCTCGTACGCCACTGTACGAGTTGCGACCAGCGAGAGACACGATTGTCCAGTAGCTGTCAAAATCATAAGCAAATTTCAAGCCCCCGCGGATTACTTGAAGAAATTTCTTCCGAGGGAGATAGATGTCGTTAAAGGTTTAAAACATTTGAATATCATAAGATTCCTTCAAGCAATTGAAACGACCCACAGGGTTTATATCGTTATGGAATTCGCGGAGAACGGTAGCTTATTGGACACGATAAGAAGAGATTCCTACATCGACGAGCAGAGATCTCGTAAGTGGTTTCGACAGTTATTGGATAGCGTGGAATACTGTCATGAGCGCGGCGTCGTGCATCGGGATATCAAATGCGAGAATCTGCTCATGGACAACAATTACAACATTAAGTTATCTGATTTCGGATTTGCCCGTGGCGGTATGAGACGCAAGAACGGGTCGCCGATCCTGAGTGAGACATTTTGCGGCAGTTACGCTTACGCCTCTCCAGAAATTCTGAAAGGCATACCATACCAGCCCCAATGCTCGGACGTATGGTCGATGGGGGTTGTTCTATACGCCATGGTATTTGGCAGACTCCCGTTCGATGATTCGAATTATCCTCAACTTTTGAGACAAGTTCAGAACAAGGTTACGTTTCCGAGAGAACCGCGAGTGTCATCGAACTGCAGACAGCTGATTGTGAAGATCCTCGCGCCGCTGAAACAGAGATTAAAAATACCGGCGATTAAAAGCGATACCTGGTTGACCGTTGAGGAGGTTAAAGAAAGTGAACCACCGGCTGTGGAAGAAAAGACAGAAAACGAACAGCACACTTCGCATTCGGCAGAATGAATGATTACATCGAAAAGATTTATAAATTAGCTCTGCCATCAGATAACACGCACACCTGTTTCTGCAAACGTATGAATATTGATCTAACAAATGATTAGCATTATCTAATGCTTTTATATACATAATTTTAACTCTGTAAATATAACATTTTACTGATTATTTTTGTACGTGCAGATTTTTAAATCTTTATTAATATATTATGCATTTGTAAAAATTATTTTTATTTAAATAGTTATCTAATTTAAAACGTATTTTGCAAGATGATTTAATGAACACTGTCTTGTGAAAATTGCTCTATTTAAATCAATTATTGCATTCTTTCATTTATTTATTTCATATTACCTCTTATTAATTCTCTGAGCTTAAAAATAATCAGAAATTTACAGGATATATTTACTATTATGTTTAGCAAGTGTATAAAAAATTATCCATCTGATATATTATACTCTTGCTTTCAAATTATAATCTTTGACTAACATTCTTATAAATCATTTTTAATGAGTCACTTTCGATATGTTTAGGAAATAAAAAATAAATTAATTTCATACCGGCAACATATATTTTATGAATGTTACAAATGATTATAAATCATATCAAATTGAGATATTATTTCGTAACCTATAATTTTCGGAAGTACTTAATTTTGTATCATAATACATAACGGTCTTATTAGTTTCTCGAAAGGTTGTACGCAACAGGTCCACATTTTATATATAAGAAATATATTAATGATATATATATATATATATATATATATATATATATATATAGGGGAAGTTGTAAATTATTGCAAATTGTAGATTTTTTTAATTAATATATTTTGAGAACCACTGTTTACATTTACTACGAAATGAAGATGGATAGTTGCTATAATTATTAAAAGCTAAATATTTTATTTAAACTTCTTCTCGAGCTCGCCCGTAGGTAAGCGGTTAAGAGCGACGGGACCTGAATCAGAGGTCCCGGGTTCGATACCCACTTCGAGCAGCCTGTTGTCAGGCAGCAGTGACAATGATTTTCACTTGGAAAAATAGATAGCAATATGTTTCCAAGTGAAAATAGCCCTTGCCCGGCATTGCTGCACCAATAAAAAGATTTATTATTAGATTAATTCTAATAACAAAAATCATCAAATATGGATGAATTAACCATTGGGTTACACATGATCGCAAATTGATAAATTTGAAATGAAATAAGATAAAGAAAATTTAAAGTTAGTTGATAAAAATAATACAAATCGAAACTTTATGATAATCAATTTAATATTGCCTATTGGAAATGACGGACCTGCAAAGTTCTGTTTTTTGCCTTAAACAAATTTATTGTATCTTTTATCACGACTGGCAATATCGAAATTAAGAAAAATATTGATAAGAAAATATTGTCCATTCCATATATTATTCCTGTATTTTATTATAAAAATTCTGCGTCGCATAAATACAGCAATGTTTATCCCTGGTTGCAAACAAGCGCCAATAATTTCTTAATCGCCTCGAAACCTATCACCTTCTCATCGTCTTGTTTTTGCCGCCAGTTTGGTACTGCAATTAAATTATTTATAACGCGCTTCACATACGGATTGTCTGTTATTACTGTTCGGCTTCGTTGGGCAATAAACGATATCCGATCGCACGAATGAGATTCATAATAATAATAATATAAATCAAATCTCAAATTGGATGAACAATGCTAAAAATATTCCACTGGCACTTTTCGGAAGAAAAATGGTAATTTAATAATCGAAATATATTAATCTGATATGAAGGTATTTTTATAAACAATATGTGAACTTAAATATCTTTAATATTTCTTATTTTAAAATAATTTTTTTTCTATGACCCATCAAAAGTAAATTTCTCGTACAAAATTGCTATATGTCCATTTGTAATGAATTAAATTTAAACTTAAAACTTAACCTTATTCTTAAGATTACTTCAAATGAAACACGAGACTTCTCTCAATGGATTAAACTCTATTCTAACTTTTTTGTTTCCTCTCATTTATGTAACAATAGCTTGAATGATTTCATTGTATCATGATTGCTATTTTCGATAATAATAAAAAAAAATAATATTATCTTTATTTTTGGGTGTATATGGTGCACCTGTGATTTTAACTTACGTCTAATTTTTTTTGATAAGTATTATTTAAACAGTTTTTATGCATTTTCTATGAATATTATTTAAATTGTCATAATATTATTTTTCTATTTAATCGCATTATTATAAAAAATTGCCATGTATCATTTATTCCCAAAATATTCCATTCAGCGGCGACGATTGCATTATTTAATTTATACGTCGCGTCAAGTTTTTATTTTCAATATTCATCATTATAAATCCATATTTCTATTTAATATATGTTTTTTATTCACTTTTTATTGGATTTCGGTCGTTAATTCTGTCAAACAAATAATTCAATTGCTAAGCTTCAGAGAATCATTTTGTTTTTTATTTAGGAAATATGAGTCTGGTATTTGATGGTAAAGATTTATAATAAGATATAGTATTATATTTTTGCTTTGACGCGTTTTGCTATTTTATTTTAAATTATTCATTTTTATGTCTAAAATATTTCAGAATTATGCATTATGAGTAAAAATGTTGTCAAATAAACATAATACATGCCTAATAAATCCATTACAAACACAGTTTAAGATATTTTACTTATTTTTGGCATTAAATTTAATGAATTAATTAAGATTGGCAGTTATTTATTACTTTTTTAAATTCATTTATAAATTGTAAAATGATATGCGTACCTTAGGAAAATACTATAAAATAAATTAAGTGAAAAAAATATATTTCGAAAATCATTGACGCACAAAATTTTTCATTCTACTGTATAAAGATTATTTCAGTTGCATCGAATTTAACATTAATATGACTCTGGAAAGAATTATACTGAAAGTTATTATATAAAAAAGTATTTAATCATAATTTTAATTATATCTTCCAATATCCTGTTTTTGAGCCAAATATGGCTGTTTTTGAGCCAAGTTTTCAATTAAGGCTCATTGATTTATAAATTTTCAATTAAGGTTCATAGATTTTTAAATTTTGAATAAAAGCATTTTACATCTCAATTAAAATGTAGTATTTTTCCTGGCATATTTAAATATTATGTTCATTAGTCGAATGACAGTTTTATCAATCAAATCTGGACTGTCCAACGAAGCATCTAAGTCGATTATCAACATGGGTGACATCCGTAATAGACACGTGCCAAGCAACTTACCTACGCGAAGATTAGGTGCTCTCCGTAATTGATAGTGAAAGCGCCGGTAAACTTATTGCAATGAAATTTTATAGTATTGACATTATTAAAATGTAATTCCAAGAACTTTTTTTATAATAAAAATATTTTGTTTTATTTGATCTGTTAACTCTGTACTTTAACCCTTTGCGCTCGTATGTCGTCGTACTGACGATAAATGAGTTGTATCGGTGGAATGTACGAGTGCAAAAGGTTAAATAGGTTTATTATAGAGAGTTTAAATAATATTATTTATTTTAAATGGCATAGATAGCAAAAAATTAGTTTCAGTCGTATGCACAAAAATCACAAAAGACAATGAACAGAACAGAACCAGGTTCTAATCTTTTTCTATTTCATTTAAAATTATTACAATAATCAAGTCACACTATGAGATATATTTATTTTATATACATATCTGATTTTTGTTAAAGTAACATTAATTTTTAATTAAAAATATAGTTCAAAATTATGTTTCCAAGTGAGAATAGCACTTCTCCGATTTTCTTGCATAAAATTGAATAATATATTATTAATATCAGAACAATTCTAATGATAAAGACATTTAAAATATAATTAGGGAAATCTTGGTGGGGTTGTCTTTTTAAAAGCATTGTTAAGGTGAAATTCATCACAATAGAGCATAAAACAGTCAGGTTTTAATTACTAGATGATTACTAGTCAAAAATATTATTTTATTTATTTATTTTTTACAAATTTTATACGATATTTTTAAGAAATTTGGAAATGAAATAAATTGTAAGTAATATATTAAAAATTACTTCATTCATTGTGATTAATTTATCGCTCCTCAAACCTGGATCGGAAATTTTCAATAATAGAAATTTTTCAAAACTAAAAAGATTAGGTTACTCGTAATTATAGTATCCCTTATAATAAATTATTTAAAACAAATTATAATAGCAATATTTACTTTATATTTAAGAAAATTTACTCTTATATACCATTGCCTTATTCTTGCTGATAACAAAAGAGATGAAGCAGGCTTGTTTTAGAACACAAAGTGTCTCGCAAAATTTTCGTGTTTAGTTGATATTTTTCAAAGACTAAGCGATTTAAATATATCAATGCAAGAGAAAATATGTGCCAAAAAACAGGCTCAACCGTTGCATTAATTTTTTTTAATGTTGTGTTAAATATTATTCTACGATTTGTTTTCATTAAATTTATAAATATTTCTTCTTATAATTAATAGTTATGTTTGTATGTACATTTTATATAATATTTTGTATTATTAGGCATAATTTTGTGACGCAAGGAAGAAAAGATTGGAAACCACTGGTGTAATGGTTAAGATTACGGATTCGTTGAACGTCGTCATGAGTTCCAAACTCGCTATGGACTATCTGGCATCATGCAGTAGCGATGTCAATTTTTACTGGCAAATATAGATAAAAAATATGTTTCGAATTGAAAATAGCTCACATCTGCAATAGGGCAATAGGAAATCACTCGATTTGAAAGGGCCCAATCGATGTGGAGTCTAACTAAGATCACGAACCTGCCCGAGGGCAATTGCCCAATTATTTTATACCACAAGAACACAAATACTTCACTATTTACCCTGGTCCTCATATTTCTCGTAAAGTAAAAGTAGCTGATGATGATCTCCTCGATGATGAGCCGCCACCGCGCTCAGATTATCGCATACTTAACGGTCTTCACGGCACATAGGTATTCTAAAATTATCTCGGGCATCACGTGCAGTTGTCACGCTATTTACG